TTATGTCTTGCGTCAATGGTGCAAATGCTTGCTGCTTGAGATTTCGGCCACTTCCCGGCTGTCTGGCAGCGAGCATGTTGCAGTGCCACCGTTTTCAGAATGTGAGGACTCGTTCGGGCCTTGTTGTCAAGAGCACGCGCTGTTTTTTGTTTGCGCAACTTCACTTGATGTAGCTGCAACTAGCATCGAGAAAGACAGATCGCGTGCTGGTTGCATGAATCACACCACCATCCACGTCAGCACTGGGTTGCTCGATGCTCAGCTAGCACATGCTGATTAAGCTTCAGGCTTGTGTGATAAGGGACAGACGTGGACTTGCTGGCAGAGAAGGGCACATACATCGCCAGAATTGCAGCACTATTGCAGCTATGTGACTTGGTTGGACCGGTTTGACCTTTTTCCTCGCCCAGACTTTAGACAGGTTGCATATTTGAGTGAAGCACATGTGCCACAGGCTTTGCAGAAATCCTGCATTGCACGTTTTATCTGCTCAGCTACTGTCAACTGTAGGCTTCTGCCGCTTGGGCGCAGTAGCTGGCAGCGGCTACCTAAGCTCCAAGCTTCCGTGAGCAGGAGGGGAAGGGGACTTCCCGCCAGAACTGCAGCTTTGCGACGGGTTGTAAACGTTTGACCTTCTTCCTACCTAGTCACGGCCAGAAAGTGCCAAGGGGCGGCTGACGGCAAAACCTTGCAAGTTGTGCGCTCTGTGGGGCATTCGGGCGCAGCCTGCAGCCGTTAGTCAAGCTGCACTTGGCCGTGCTCCAGTGGTTCCACCTCGAGAGCATTAATATACTCGGTTTCCTGACCTGGGATCCTGGCACAGTCAGGGGCCAAGGATGCCGTTTCCTGCTAGTTGCAGTACCCTCGGCGCATGACACCTCTGTGGCCGAAAGCTGCGATATCTTTTTTTCTTTCACGTTTGCAGGCACCAGCAAGCTGCAAAGTTGATAGGTCGATGTATGCCGAGCACAATGGGATCTCAAACAGCCGAGCATCCGCAATGCTCAACTTCTGCTGCGTCGGGCTGAGCAATCCTGTGCTCCACAGATCTTCATCATCTGAGTAGAACCAAGAATCAGAGTACGTCCTCCCTGCGGCTGGTGCTGCTGGCGTATCTGGTTTAGGGCCAAGGCAGAGGAAGATGAAGGTTGCGCAAAAAGCGCCGCTGCTGGAGTCGCGCCTGTGCTGCTCAGCGTGGGGGGCGTACACACGAAAACCACTGCAGCATGCACAAGTACATCTCCTCAGGCTCTTACCCCTTCGTTCTGAGGCCTGTGGGTGTACGTAGTGCTTGCTGATGATTCTTCGAAGCTCCATTTGCAGGAGGGAGGTTGGCGCAGTGGCATCATATTCGCTCAGCGCTCGGGGGACCGTGTTGTGCCGTAGCCAAGCTACACCTCTGGAAGCATCGAACCTGCTCATGACAGTGCGAGCATTATTGCCATTTTCTGCTTGCAACATGTCACGGCACACAGAGGACGTGGTTCCGCAAGAAGCTGGTGTTCTGTGAACTCTACCCCGGCTGACACCACACTCCTGCAGAGCCTGCAGTGTCTTCGACCTGCTTCAAATATGTCAGGGGCTTTTTGCGGTGCCCCCCGCTCATGTTCGCGCAGAGCCTTCATTGGCTGCAGCCTGTTTGAACATCGGTAATTATGTTGAGGGCTTGTTGCAGCGCCCGAACATTCCCACTCAGATTCTGCGACATGCCTGGCATTCAGACTGAGCCCAATGCCCGAGCTTTTGCATCTGACCGCATCTATTTCGTCTGCTCTCCGTGGATGTTGAAGGCGCGCTTGCTCTCCGTGCAAAACAGTGCAGGATCCTTCCCATTACCTCTGACCGGCCTGGTATCTCAGTTCCTGAGCTGAAGCACGCAGCGGGCAGAGTCAGACTTAGCCGGCCCCTAGTGCAGCACCGCCGCCGCCGACGGCGAAGGCAATACAGGGTCAATCCGAGAAGACTTTACTCTGCCGAAAGCTCCAGGAGCCAGCGCGGGGAGGGCAACCTGGTGTCACAACACTGTTTTGGGCAGGGGCTAACAACACTGCTTGCAGTCCGTACACATTCTTCTGGAAGTTCTCTGGAGCTTGCGAGCTTGCGAGTTGCCATCGGAAATTGTTAATGCTGCAATCCGCCTGTGCTGCTTGAAGGGTCGGACTTGATCTGGCTTAGGCCACTGTCAGCGCTGTCGCTGTCAGCGGAGGCGACAGAGGATTAGTTTGCAAAGATCTGCCTCCGATTCGGAGGCTAGGCGGCTACGTTTTCTTCAAGAGGCCGGTTTGGAGCCTGGCTCAATCAATTGCACTGGGCCACAGACCAACACCGCGAAGCATCATATCGTACGGTCTGTGGCACCCGCTCTTCTCTGGAATTCTCGAGCATTTTGAAGTTCGCCATCGTTCCCCGCTGGACTGATGCTACAGTTTCAAAATGTTTCAGAATGCTGCAGACTTCGTTTTGAGAAGCTTATCACATTCACGCTTCTGCCATCAACCACACAAGCCATACATGGTGCCCGAGTGGAAAATACGTTGGCGATTCTGTTCTTTTTGTGCTGAACTGAGAAGATATTTTTACGTAAGGCATGTATACAGCATACATAGTTGACATGCTACCTACGTCCATGATAATCATGCAAGGATAATTTGTTCACCTGGTCGACACTACTTGCGCAAATACATTTTCGCACGCTGGCAAATAATCTCCACACCTGGAAATCAGCTGATTACCAGCGCAAGCCAAAGTATGTAGTAGTAAATCCAGCAGCAAGCTTCTAACAAAAGCTTTGGAGTCTAGTCTCGTAGCATTCCTTGAAGGGAACCCTGACATGTAGTCTCTGGCTATGGGTCCCGATGTCTATGGCATCTGTTTCTTGCACGCTCAAGACAGACCTTGGCCTCATCATATTGAAGAGTGGCGCATGCTGTGATGACCGGCAGTACGTTGCTTGCCGATATGCGCAGGACTTCACATGTTGGTTCTGCGAACGCGTTGCTTAGATATTTTTTTCTGGTTGGGCAGGTGTTGTCCTTTATAATCATGTCCAAGCTCGCAGGTTCAATTACCACATTGGAAGGACGCAAGCAATGCTTGCACACGTGCTATCCTACACGCACTAACGCGCGCTCTGCGAATTGGAAGAAGCGTTGTGTCATGCTCTGCTGACATGTCCGTGTGCATGCATGTGTGATACTTGCCACTTGTGCTTTGCTCGTGCGACTGGCATTCATGACCCAACTTCAACCCACATCTGTACGAGGCTGAGGTTTTTGTAATGTCGACCATGAGAAAGTGAGCTCTAGCAAGTGTTCGAGTCATGTGGCCTTGAGGGTTCAAAGTGCGCATCATGTTGGGTTTGACTGGGCTTCATTATAACAACCACAACTAGCCTGCATGCTGCAGCGATGAAGCAAAAGAGGTTTGGCAATGAAGGTCCTTACTCGGGATGGTATAGGCAGGGCCCAAATGGCAACAAGGCGAAAAGTGTGGGGCTTCGGGCCAAGGGGTACGTGGAGCTTTCCGTTGAAGTTTACGGCGAAAGGTCCGCATCTTTTAGGGCTCCTATTCTGTGGGTTCCTCGCTTAGTCACTGCCGTTTGATGTCATGGTCCGCATGGCGACATGTGGTCCTCCGTTGATTAGATGTCTGCTTTTGCAAGCGCTTGGCTCAACCGAACCGTGGAAGCACCCGTCCCATGTCCATGTCAAGCCACTTGAGACAAATCCCTTGGAGCAGTATATGTAAAAGTTTTCACATTGTTGTGGTCTTGCAGATTCTCTTGTGCCTTTTCGAAACTCATTAACTGGGTAGGCCCCTGAAATTTCCTAATGTTTTCCCTACTGGCTTTAATAGGGGACCCTATATGCTAATATTTTTCAATGGGTTTTAGGGGCCAACCCAGTTAAACTGTTGCGTAAGGATAGCAAGCTTGCAATGGGCGGCAGGCTTTTCTTTTTCGCGTTTTTGCTAAAATACCTAGCTGCGCCTTGGCCCTTGATTTAGGGTTTAGGGTTTGTTTGGACCCCCCACCCAGTAATAGTGACTATAAGGGATAATGGTCATTATTTTAGGGTCCTCTTATAGTCCTTTTATACCACTATTACAGAAGTCAAGGTGGATATGTGTGGGGGTGCTTTGATTCTACTCTTGCACTCGGCGTGTCCCCTGTACAGCCCAACAAATGCAGCACTCAGGGATTTCCAACATGGGTGGCTGTCAAAATTCCTAAACCCTAAACCCTAAATTTTGACAACCACCCACATGGACCCCCCAGATCGGCCGAGACCCAATAAGCCTAAGGCCTCAAACCCCCCTAGGAGGGTTTAGGGCTTAGGGTTTCTAGGTTCTAGGGTTTAGGGTTTAGGGTTGGAAAAAAGACCATCCCTCCATGTGGGGGCTTGAATGCCCTTTCTTGGGGGTCCCAATAAGATAACCCAAAATGTAACCCCAATATTACCACACCATAACCAATATAACCCCAATATACTACGCTAGTTTCCATTTTCTTTTCCATGATACAAATATGACCCCAGTAGGTGATACTACGTTCTGTATTGGAGACCGCTGTCCAGGGAAAACCACCTTCTTTCTGTAAACCATCTATGATCCCAGTTTCAAAATCATGTTTCAATTTGACTGGCCATAAACCCTTAAAACCCTAAACCCTTAAACCCTAAACCCTTAAACCCTTAAACCCTAAGCCTTATTTTGAATCCCCGAAATTCAGCCACATCGTCAAGCTTGTATGCTGATGCTAGCCCATGCTTACTGACCGCACCAGGGGAGGTTGCCATTTTTTGTTTTGGGATGGGTACCAATTTTGTGGATTATAGGGTATAATGGAAAATAAAATGGACAAAACAATTGGAATGTGAAATGGAAACTGTGAATATTTGGAGATTTTTTTATGATGAAGAATGCGCGTGCTCAGGATTTGAGGTATGCAATGTGACAGCCCTTTTAAGAAATTCCCCTGGAGCATGTGTTTGGATTGTGAGGCTGCTCGGGACGAAGTGGGTGCATGCTGGAATGTCAGTGATGACGCCGGAGACTGCGAGGCAGAATTGGTAGCCATAAATTCGGGGGGTCCCCGATACCCTTTGGACCCCCCAAAGATACCCGCAATCTTGAGAACATCCCCAGTTGTTGTTCATGTGCAGTAATCAGAGAACCCTAAACCCTAAACCCTAATAATTGCAGTAGGGATGTGCCCTAAACGTTCAGCAGTTTTCGCATTCTGCTTGGGATGAAACACACCTTACTGGGACAGTTGTAGGAGTTTGGAGTTTAGGGTTTAGGGATAGCTTGGCTTGGTAGGGAATACATAGGTAGGGACTATGGTCCATATTACCACGAATGCCCCCTGCCTAGCTTTTTGGGAGCTTTCAACAACTATTCGTGACTCTTGCCAGGGTCTTCATAGCAAGGATTGTTTCTTGTTTTGCAGGTTCTGAAGGGAGAGTGGGGGAGTGGATCCCTATAACAATCCCTATATCATCCCCATATGAGCTATAGTCTAAACTCCTTACTGGGATTTTATAGGGGATTATATAGGGGACTACTATGGGGGATATTAAGGGGGATACTAGGAGTTTAGATTATAGCTCATATTATTATGGTACCTACATTCACTCCCCCACTCCCCTGAAGCATCCTTAAGCACCAGTAGGTTGCCCCTGGTCTACCCAGTGCTCACGTGAGAAGGGCTCTATATGAGGGTTTCCCAAAATTAGGGGTACCGTTTTGGGGGTCCCCAGATTAAGGATTATGGTATATTGGGGTCTACATTGGGGTCCCCTTATTTAAGGAAACTACCATATGTGACTGGTAGTGTGGGGCGTATCCAACTTCAATCAGAGATGCCAGGCCGACATTGCCAACGCTTTGCAAGTGAAGGCATCGATTCTGCTCAAGCTGCGGCAGGTTGTGGGTTTCGAGTTTCGCCAATCGTAGAGACCTCACCCGACATCACTTTGAATGGTGCTCTATACCAAAGAAGGCCTCAAATAGGTCAAATTTCAGGCCACACCTTGCCGAATGTGGGGCATGTACACTTTTTGTATGCGGTTATCCTAGTCCCAGTCATGCAGGGCAAATTTCGAGCAGACACATGCATGCTATTTGGGGAGCCATAAGTGCTTCTCAAACTGACGCCGTTGACATGCTTCAGTAGTTGGACTCCTCAATCCCCGTACAGTTCACGTGCATCCCTGGAGCCTCCATATTGCCACGTTGTGAGAAGCTTCCACATGACATGCAGGCCAGTCTATCAGGCGAGTTGGAAGACCAATCGGAAGACCAATTGGATGACCAACTGGAAGAACACTTGGAAGACCAATTGGAAGACCGATCGGAAGACCGTTTGGATAATGATTGGTGGCACCGTCGACGTACTTCTCGCAGATGGTCGCCGTCTCGCAGATCCAGGAGATCAAGAAGGTCCAGAAGGTTTTGGTGGCATCGGCGAAGATGGTCGCCAACTACATGGCCACCTCCCACGCCTCCTCCAACACCTCGAACAAGCAGGACAACGACAATGGCGGCGACGACCACCACCACAACAACAACAAGAACCCGAAGAAGCAGAAAACCTAGAAGAACCACATCCACCACAACCACCACAACCACCACAACAACGGTAAGAACCAGAAGAAGCAGAAGACCTAGAAGAACCACGTCCACCACAACCACCACAACCACCACAACCACCACGACAACGGTAAGAACCAGAAGAAGCAGAAGACCTAGAAGAACCACGTCGACAACAACCACAACCACCACTACAACAACTACCACCACCACTACCACTACAACCACTACAACCACCACAACCACCACAACCACCACAACCACAACTACAACGAGCACAACCCCCCCGGTACCTCCTCCGGCACCTCCTCGGCACCTTGGCTGCGAGTATTATCCGTATCCAGTTGCAGACAGTTTCGGCCTGAGGGTTTTTTGGGGCTTATTGTGCGGTAGGGCCAAGTCTGTGCGTTGGGGCCAAGGTAGGGCTTATTGAGTATATTGGGGTTATATTAAGGTACTATTGGGGTTATATTGGGGTAATATTAGGGTTACATTAGGGATATATTTATTTGGTTGCAGAAGGGTTTGGGTTGCGGGGCGTTGTTTTGCAGCTTTTGAGACCTTGGAGTTCTCTCAAAAGCGCCCGTGTGAACCCCAGCGGGGCGTCCCTTCACAGATTTTTTTTAAACTACACTCCCAACCTGGTAGTTTTCCTAATGAAGGGGACCCCGGCATACTATAATCATTCTTCTAGGCATCCCCAAAAAATGTACCCCTAAGTCTGGGAAACCCTGGCTGCATCTCTAGAGTCCGTGGCAGTAGCCAGTCTTGAGAAGCCCCAAGTGACCAAATCCGGAACCCTAGGCCCTAAACCCCAAACCCTCAACCCCTAAACCCCTAAACCCTAATCCCCTCTGCCCCTAAGCCCTACGCTGTGATCATGAGGACGCATCCGGCTGATGGAAGCGAAAATCATTGCAAACCGCTGGACAGTTCTGGAAGACCCAGTGGTTTGCACAAAAGACTCCGAAAGGATATCAAGCAAATGAACCGCTGCTGCATCTAGGAATGACTCAAAATTATCCAAAATCCGAAGCCCTAAGCTTTAAACCCAAAACTTAATCCTGATTCCGGTATGGGGCCCTTCTAATCCTTTTAGAATCCCTGTGTGTGCCCTGGTCCTTGGGTCCTTAGCGTATCTCGTTCGAAAGACCCCAAAATCCTACACACGGGTGTAGGGCTGAGAGCTTAGGGTTTAGGATGTTGTCTACACCCAAACCCTTTTTATGGTATAATGTCTCCCTAACAAACTCCCGCTTAGAGTGGTCACAGCATCATTACAATTTGGTAGTTTCTGGGGTCCCCGTTGACGTTAAGGATCACGGAAGGATAATGTCGGACAGAAAATTTATGTGGTAGTTTCTCAAAACCGAAAATATTTTGATCCTTATTATGCGGACCCCTAAGAATGTATCCCTAATTTTGGGAAACCCCCAATGTGTCTGCCAGGACAGATCAAGAGTTCCAAAAGTTTGCAGATGCCCTCAACCGGCTGAAAAACAACTGGTCGCTTTGTTCTGATCCATCGAATTGTCGGGGACTCAGTGAACCCCTAAACCCTAATGCCTAAACCCTTCGGAAAAAGGTCTGAGAAAAAACAATACCCTGCACCCTAAAGCAGCAGAACAGGTGCGGTGGATGGAGGAAATCTTGCACATTTTGCACCATTTGGAGCAGGGTTTAGGGTCTAGGGCTCCGTGCTAGTGTAGTAGCCAAGTCTGTATCAGGTAGGGCAATATTTCCTCCAGCCACTGTAGTAGCAGCAAGAAGGCCTCTGTCTCCAAATTTTTAAACCCTGAACCCTGAACCCTAAACCCTGAACCCCAAACCCTGAACCCTAAACCCTAAACCCTGAACTCTGAACCTTAAACTCTAAACCCTGAACCCTAAAGCCTGAAGCCTGAAGCCTAAGGTCTGCGGGATTTCCCTTACACTTACGACTCTTTGCTGGTGTTCCATCCGCCGCTTGGCATTTCAAGCCAGGTGGACTATTACAGTCCCCCATTAGGGGTTTCCCAAAATTAGGGGTGCCCATTTATGTAGGGTTTAGGGTTTAGGGATCAGGGTTTAGGGTTTCCGAAAATTATGGATACCATTTTGGGGGTCTCTATAATAAGGACTGTAGCATTTTGGGGTCTATATCGGCCCCCCCTATCGAGGGAAATTGCCATATATAGAGCAAGACGATATGCTCTTTTGGGTAAAGCATGTCGTGAGAAGAATATTACTCGTTCACATTTGTACTTCATGATTTAAGTCTTAGGGGCACAAAAATCTCGTCCAGAAATTCCGTAACGTGCCCCCAGCTATTGTGAGCAGAAAAAGGAGATCACCAAATCGGATTCAGATTTTTTTATCCAGCGTTGAGGTTGAAGAGCTGCCATGGCAGGGCAAAAGGGGCCTTGCAAAGACCGCTCTTCCTGTGAAGGGGCCTCTAGGCATCTCTAGGCTCTGAGTTTAGGGTCGAGGGTTTAGGGATTAGGGTTTCAGAATGCGTCGGAATACGGGCGCACGCTTTTGCGTTGAATGAAAACTATAGATGTGGGTCGTGTTGTGAAGCAGGTTGTAGAGATGTTTAGGGTTCAGGGTGCAGAATACAGTTTTCAGATACATTTGCACAGCACAAGCGAAGCTACGCTGCATTAGCAGACCCGCTGTAACAATCCCTACAACCCCTTCCTCTCTCCCCATTCTCTGCTGAGCATCCTAAACCCTAAGTCCAAGATGACAGCAGCTTCCATTTTTCCTTCTTCGCTCTCTACTACTGTCTCCACCCCAGAGACCTAGTACGGCAATTTCTGTTTTCTTCCATTCCTGCATACCCTGCTACCGACAAAGCCCTGGATTCTATAGCAGCTTTCATTCGTTCATGCTCTAAACCCTAAGCCCTAAAGGGTTTAGGATTTCGGATTTAGGGTTTAGGATTTTGGGTTTAGGACCGCACTTTTTCTTTGCAGGTACTGTCACCAGGACCCGGCCGAGTTCCTGGTCATGCATCGGCGGTTACTGTTTGAAGTTGAGACTCAACTTCAGGTGCGCCTCGACACTGGATTTGGAAGTTCTTAAACCCTAAACCTTGGGTACTGCCCCCTCCCAGTAACAGTCTATACTAGGGGTCCTATTAAGGGCTATATATAATCCGATTATAGTTATTATCCAACTGTTACTGAGGGGGGGCAGTACCCAACCTAAACCCCATAATATTGGTAATTATTTAGGTTAGGACCCTATATTCGTTTCCTGAAGTTAGGGTACTGTTTTGGGGGTCCTCATAATCAGGAGCTACCATGTAGGGTTTCAGGACCTCTGTAGGGTTCAAGTTTTATCGCTCACCGCCTTGCCCTTCGAATGGTGCATCGCGATTCAAGAGGCGACAGCTTCTTCTCTTTCTCCCTGCAGTCTTCTTCGGGTTTCAAGGTTTTGGTTGTGTGTTTCAGGCGTTCCCCACTCCCCCTCCTGCCACACGGATCGTCAATTCAGCATCGTAGTCAGAAGCAGGGACCCACTTGTTTGATAGTTCCTTATCTGGCACGAGCAATATAACTCGAGTGTTGAAGATTTCAGGCATTCCCGCTGTCTAGAACACGTATCCAGTATCCATCACTAAAGCTTGCAACAACAGTACTAGCTTTTAAAATCATCATCGTTGTTGACTTTTCTGAGATACGGGCAGCAATGATGGAATCACGTTTCCATCTTTTTTTGGTGTGGGCTACGTGGATGGATGCTGCCCAAGCCCTAAAGCCTCAAAATAGTAGTTTCTATTTTCTTTTACCATTATCCCATTCCATATGAGCTATGGTCTAAACTCCCTAAAGGGGGGTTATATAGGGAACGATATAGGGTTTAGGGTTTAGGGTCTAAACTCGATCATATAGGGGAGTACTATGGGGGTTATTCGGGGGGATACTAGGAGTTTAGACGATAGCTCATATGTGGGAGGTCGCTTTCAAGAACTACCCATGACTACAACCGCAACTTGCAGCAGTTACCGCCACAACATGCGAACCAAAGGCGGGTGCATAGGAAAAAATAGTATTTGTTTTCCATGATTCAAAAAGAGGATGCTACCAGTACTACTAAGTAGTTTCCATCAATAGGGGGACCCCGATATAGATTCCAATGTATTATAATCCTTAGTATGGGGGGCCCCATGATGGTATTCCTAATCTTGGGAAAGCCGAGGCCCCAGAAATCCCTATATATCCCTATACCCATATCAATCCCGATGTATCCCTATATACCCTCTTATATAACCCCTTATATCCCCTTTTAAAGGGGAAGAGCGACCCCTATCTTAAGACACTGCCACGGAGTGTCATCACGCCAATTCTATCAATTTTCAGGCCCTGAACCTGAAACCTTAAACCACAGCCTCCATGGTGACTCTGACCAAGTACTGTAGCTGCACGGTTTAGGGTCTAGGGCTTAGGGTCTGGGGTGTAGGGTTCAGCTTGGGGTTTCCAAATGCTTTAAGCTAAGGCTCTCTGGTGACTGTGACGTGGCCTTTCCGTATTGGAACTCACATCGAGATGCGGGAGACCTTTGGGGCGCGAGGCTCAGGTAATCCCTGCCCCTAATGTTGAAACTCTCGACCCTAAGCATCTTTCGATGATCCCTTTTCAAAATCTCCCTGCAGGACTCCAAACGCACAACAGAACTCACGCAGTATAATGGGAGGAAGGGGCTACTGGATTCATTGATGCTGGCATAACTTGTTCCACCAGCCGAATGACAAACAATGATTCCAGTGATCATCAGCTCAGAAATTGTTATTGGAATGCTGTTAAGATTGTGTGGTTTCTTTGTCAGCCTCCCCGAAACCCTCCACCCCACTTACCAGGCGGGTACCTCCAAATAGGGCTCCTGTAGGGCTAGTGTAGGGGTAGTGGGGCTTTTGAGGTCTACATACCCTAAACCTTAAATCGCCTCCTTTGAGGCTACCCACCTGATAACATGCAGCAGCTGAGGTGTTCAAGAGGTTTGGGGTCCCAATCGCTATGGCCGTGCCGAAGGCGGAAGTAGACCTGGAGACAACAGCGCGACCTGTCAGGCTCAAAACCAGCAGCACAAGTGTGCCGGGACCTAAGCAATGCGTGTAGCGTTTTCTGGGGACGCAATGGTTTGGGGTTTAGGGTTCAGGGTTGAAGGTTTAGGGCTACATATTTTCGTTGCTGCGGGCTTCTCACAGGATGGTAAGACGTTGTTACATCTTAGATGATTCCTCGTTTATGAGGACTGGCAGCAGTTGAAGGCAAGTACGGCCCTGTGGACACAGACTCTTGAAACTCAGAATCAGGGTCCCATCAATC